ACTCCGGATGACTTGATTACTGTTAAATCAGATAGTTGTCTCCGCATTTATTGCTGTGGTTGTTGAACAACAGACAAAATTGATAGATTTCTTATTGCGATTTCAGAAAATGTTGAATACAAATAATCTGATAAAACTTATAATTGCGTGTTTTTTTTTTTTAGCAAAACATAAACATGATATTAACCCTAATAAAAACATTGCAAAACATTCTGAATAAACAGTATATACCACATATCTAATATAGTGTTAATTCAGAATCTATTGCAATTATTGTATTATGATTTATATCGTGTTTATATGCACACGTATAAAAATTGCGGTTTTATCCAACGCAATCATATGTTTGACTTCCGATTGCACTTGTAGTGAAGGGATAACTTATAGTACACTTTGAATCTTCCGGTATATGACTAATGATAAAATCATATACACGTAGATTCTGTTCTTCAATACTAAATTGATATAAGGAAAAATTCCGAAAAAAGCAACATAACCATTGATTGATGAAAAAAAAAACACTCTAAAGACCTGCTAATTGTTAGCGGAAAGTTATAACTTTTTAGAGTTTTTCTAATCCTTTGATTAATAATGTTTATCTAGAAGATCATAATATAACATTGTATAAGCAACTATTTTAAGTTAATCATTAATACAATTGAGAATGAAAAGGATATTGCATTTAGCAAGCGTATAGTTTATTTAGTATGTAAAATCAACTATTCTACTTAAGAATCGTCGATGGTGTTCTAATCAAACAGCTGGAAAATGACCAATTACTTTCCTACGTTAGCAATGACATAATGCTAAAGAATATCAGTCTATGGCTATATTTATTTTTTCATCAAAGCGAAATATAATATAAAACGTACGGAGTCATACTGATAATTAGCTTTTGTCCAACTTTTGATTTTGTCAGTTTTTTAACGACTTCCTCTCTATGAATTTACCTTTGAGTTATGTATTTTTGTTTTACTTTTTTTCATTAAATTTTTATTATTCTCTCTAGTTGTATCGACTTCATTTAAGGAAAGTAAATGTACATATTTACACAAAAAGAAAAGTCAGGATGCCGATGATAATTTCTGTTTTTATTTTCATTTTCATTTTTCACATTCTATTTATAACATTTACGTGATACATTTTTTTAGTTCATTGAGTTGCAGGGAAACATTTTAAAAGAGGGGCAAAAGATCCCGAAGGGACATTCAAACTCATAAATAGAAATTAAATTGACATTTAGCATACTTAGTATGTAAAATTTTCCTTTTACACGCCCATTCATAATGATATCACATTCTATTTATAACATTTACGTGGTACCTTTCGTTAGTTCAATGATTTACAGATAAAACATTTTAAAAGAGGGGCAAAAAATACCAGAGGGACATTCAAACTCATAAATAGAAATTAAACTGACAACGCCATGGCTAGAAAAGAAAAAGGCAAACAGAAAATCAATAGAACACAAAACACAACATAAAAAACTAAAGACTAAGCAACACGAACCCAACCAAAAACTGCGTGTGATCTCAGGTTCAAGCTCCGGAAGGGTAAGCAGATCCTCTTTAAATTGTGAAAAGTTTTTTTCTTGGAATTTAGGGTATAAGCTATCATCGAAAATATTGTTTACGCAAAGGTCTGATCATCTACATATATATATACTTGTCCCTCTTTAGCTCTCTGCACAACATTTCATCGCAGTATTATATATTACTGAAGTTTTCGTATTTAATAAGATTGTTCTTTGAAAAATATAATGGCTATTTGCTGCAACTCATATTTAGATTTCTTCCATAATGAAAAGGATGAATATGCTAGAGATACTTACTTGAATGGTGATAAGACGGCTAATGAGTTGAGTTTCCTCCTCGATAACTTCGATGTACGTTTCGGCAATACTGTTTATCGACAGGTTGTAAATAGTCCAATGGGCACCATTTACGACCCTTGAATAGCCGACTTGTCCCTGTATTGTTATGAATAAAAAAGTATGGCAAAATCTAGTAGAGATCCGTCTAAATTTAATTTGATTGATAAATTCAATAACACATACCGTACGTTGGTGACATTTTTGTTTAAATTATCTACAATTTTGGACATATATTGCCGAAATTTATAAATGTACATACGAATCATGTAGGCTTGTCGATTCTTTATATAAATTATTCTAAAATGTTATGAAATAAACTAAGTAATACGTTCTTTGAATACTATCGGCACTAACATTTATGTGTGTATCAATAAGTTAAAATTTAACTAAAGATGTTTTTCTATATAGCATTTGCCAATGGTAAACATCAGGTCGATACTTTGGGATTGTACAAGGTCATATTTCTATTTCAATTTTGAAATGTGTTATCGCAGATATGTTCGTTTTTTTTTCAAATAAAGTAGAAGACCTATCTAAAATTCATAATGTTTCCCACGTCAAAATAACGATCAAATCGATGAAACCTAGACAACTAAATACTGACCAGATCTTATGTAAAAACTACTAATTTGACGTCATCATTTTATACATAAAAAAGCAACACGTAAAAAACAATTCTCTTGTAATCAAATGGATACCTTAACAGTTCAATAACATGTTATATTTTGTTTGTCTTTCTTGAAATTCTCTTTATAATCAATTAATCTCAATTCTATATGTAAAACTTTTCATTATCATGCAAAAGTAATAGTTGATACAAATTTCCCGCAATGAGTTACCAATTTATATGATAAAGATCAATGGACAAAGACGCCAATTGCATAAAAGTGTACAGCGCATTAAATCCCTTAGAGTGTAAGATATACAACCCAGTATTGTAAACAGTCTTCTCATCATACATGTCATAGATAAATTACAACCCTAGTTTAAGTATAATTTCATCATTCATATCTTAAGAATAAGAGACAGAAGACATTTAAAGGAATTTCAATGTTCATAAGATTATAACTAATAACAAATAGAAATAACATTTCTTGTTGTTGCGTCCGAGGCATTTTCTTATTTGCAAAATGGATCTTGTCAATCAGAACAAACACTACCAGCGATGCAAATATTACCTTCAGAAATTGACAATAAATATATAAATAAGAAGATGTGGTCCTAAACAGCAAAACACGACAACTACTATATTACATTAAACCCACTTTGTCATAACGAAAAATGTGACATTTTACTCATATGAAATACTGCATTTCTTTCCTCAGATTTCCAACAGATAGCAGTCATTGATAACGGACTAGGTCATCAAATTCTGTTCGAACGAATGTTTTACCATGGCTGGTAAGTGGTTTAAGCAAATGTTTATCTACCACAAATGATTTAAAAATTTAGACGCAAATATCATATCTGTCCCGTACACGCCCAGATAATACCCTATCATAAAAGAGGGACGAAAGATACCAGAGGGACAGTCAAACTCAACGCGGCGGAACTAAACCATGACTTCAAATGTATTAAATGCAAAATATTTAAGTCATATAAAACGGGTTTCTCGTAATTCTAATGTTATCAAAATTATTGAACCAATGCATGCATATTTACAAAGCTAAGTCCTGTATGCAAATTTTATTTTTATTTATTACGAACCCATAACGTATTATCGACAAATAATATTTCATGCAATGATTGTTGATTGCACTCAAATCTTTGAAATTCGGGTTTGTTAACGAAGTTTACCAGATCGTGCCATTAATGAACAATCAACACATAGCATGTTGAGCACGTGTCATAGAAGTGATTTGATAGAGCCATGATATTTTTTTTATTATTATTCATACGTTCTTGTTTAACTTCTCCTTTCTAGTTGTTAAAATAACTTGTTGTATCAAGTGCATTCTTTAAGAATCAATTATTACGATCTACCTTGCAGTGCATGTTTGTTTACATTCTTCCATCACGTTTTTTTCATTCGCAATTGCGTTTGTGGTAAGCGAAGTTTTAACGAGATGTCTCGTACTTGAGGGTAATGCATAAGAGAAAATTTTGACAAACTAGTTTACAAGAAAAATATAATATAATAATTCAATAGCAGTAAACTTATGACAATTTTGATAATATAAAGATTTTTCTTTTACAATAAAGTACACGTATACTTGTTTTATCATGGTCACAGTAAAACTTAGCCTTTCAAGTATATAAAACATATTAATTTTGAATTTGAAATTTCATATGACTTCATTGTTACATCGTTTAAAGCTGAGTTCTATTGGGATTATACATTTTAAATTGTAAAAAAAAAAAGACGAAAAAAATCTCTTTGCTCTTTTAATGAAAAAACAATCATACTTTCTTATAACAATAACTTGCAAAAAAAACTGTTACTTATTCATCATTCAATATATTAGGACACGAGATTTATGTATAACCGTTTTTTGTTATCAATAAAATACACGTGTGCTAAATAAAACTAGAAACATAGAATTTATTTTACCCCAAACAACCGTAAAACTGCAAACAGTAGATAATTTTTAGACTCGACGATCTTTCTTTCTTTGCTTTAATGCAATTACGAATCTGTTGAATTCTTTTCATTATACATTTGTTATCAAGATGTTATTTTCTTATAAAAAAAAATAAAATTAAAATATCAAGATTTCATTGAATAAGTCTACAGCAAAACTGAGGCTTTAGTTCAAGTATCATCTTTTAACAACTAAAAAATTCACCATTATGTGTTATTACTATAGATTTCACAGAAAGCAACTGGTAAAAACTAGACTTTGCAAATGCTTGTTTGGTATCATATTATTATAATGAGTGGGTCTTCGACTGGTTTAAATAGTTCATCTACAGTGATGAACATATCGAATTTTACCTGCAAAATCGAAACGTACATCACCAGTGGCAGTTTTTGGTGAAGGACTAGAAGGAAGTGACATAGATTTATTGTCGGTTTAACACTTTATAAGTTTGTATATGTTTAAACAAAAGTTGTTCTGAATAATTAAGTACATTCTTAATGGATTCAGGCATATTATACTTTACTTCCTTTTAATTTCAGTTAACTCAACACCAGATATGTCTATTTGCCTGTATGATTACCTATGTCAGAATATTGTTGGATCAGAAGATTACGTTAGACTAATCAGATTGATTAACTCATCCAAAGACCGAATTTATAGCTACAAATCACCTACGATTATCACCAGTGGTAGTTTTGGTGAAGGACTAGAACTAAAACGGAGTGACTTAGATATAATGATTGTAACACATGAGGTAGAGGTAACTGACCAAACAATACTACATGATTATCATTCTGCTGAAAACTACTTTTTTTTAATCACTGACGATATTAAACCTGGATTTGCGTATTTACGTTTGATAAAAGGAAATGCGAAAAAGAAGTTGCTGTGCCGAAGTATTGAAGGACATTTATTTCTGCCAATTGCATTTTTTAAGCAACACCTTCTTAGTGAACATCATATGGTTGTTCATGGACCGTGCTTATCCGATGAAGACGGACTATTTGACTTTGCCTATTGTGTACACGCAAAATTATGGATAACTTCAGCTTCAGAATGGGTTACTAGATCAAATAATTCATGGCCAACTAATGAAGTAAAACAAAAGATTATCGATCATGGTGTCCTGTTTGTACCAATTGGCACAGGGGAAAATCAAAACGAGGAATTAAATGGCGTATATCCTTCTCTGTAGCTGAAAAATTTCTGATATATTCATTTACTCATACACAGTTGTTATGTTATGCTCTAATGAAAATTCTTTTGAAAGATGTTATAAGCGAATCTCCCGGATGTAAAGACTTACTTTGTTCATACTTTTTTAAAACTATCTTATTCTGGCTTTCTGAAGAATTGCCGACATCGATGTGGAAAAAAGACAATTTAATACCTTGTTTTATGAAATGTGTCAAGAGACTGATTTATTGTGTGGAACAATCGATGTGTCCACATTACTTTATTCCAGAAAACAACCTTTTTGAAAATAAGATTATTGGACATGGCAGGAGAAAATTGTTAGAAACATTGTATATTCTTATTGATTACGGATGGCAATGTATTTTTTTCTCGGCAAACATATCCATGGTGTCGTTGATTTGTACTGTACAGTTCAAGGTTGATTTGTTTTTGAATAACATTCAGAAGATAATTAAGTCAAAAGTAACCTTTCCTCGTGCAATGTGTCCAAATGTAAAATTAATCGATTTTGTAGGAAGTTTACAAATAGTATTCGCAAGTCAAACACAGAAATTAAGATCTCTTCTTTTACTCAATATGACTCAAACTGGTTTGATCGAAGCACAAATGGTTCTGTTATCCGGTTTACAAAGTAACCATAACATATATAAACGATATAAACAATGTCTCTGTAATCTACTCCTAAGTACTTACCATGATGCTGCGACTGGTTGGTTGATGTTGGTGTCATTATTCTACAAAAACAAACAATACAACAAAGCTCTTTGTGTTCTGTCATATTTACTCCAAAAAATTACTAGGGAAAAATTGTATTTTGGTGCAAATTTATCTCACATACATCGAGAACTATTCCGTTTCAAAACATTTAGGAAAAGAGGAATAATTCGAACACTAAGAATTCTATTTTTACCTTCAGTTATTTTTTACAAGAAAGATTACCTTATTCCAAACGAAATAAAAACGGGTGCTACTGATTTGAACCCTGCCATGATAACTCCAGTTATATATCTTCATTTCCTAACATTTTTGTGTCATTATCATCTGCACAATATCGGAAATTATCAGGAATCACTGAGTGACCTTCGTTTAACAATAGAATCAGTAATGATCATGTTGACAAATCTGTAGCCTACGACTGTCTTGGAGTAGCTTTTCAAATTTCAGGTGATATGGAATCAGCTAGAGAAGCTTTTTTAAGATCAATTAAACGTTTTTATGAGCCTTTACTGAATCGCTCATTTAAACGTCTGTATATGATGGATCTACTGTGACAAATAATCATTCCAGATGAATTAAAAACTAATGTTCATAATTTCGTTTACTGGCTACCACGTTCTTGTGTCATTATTATCAGCACAATGTCAGAAATTATCAGAACTGACTATGAGATTTTCGTTAAACAATAGAAGAAGATTATTTTATTCCGGAGAATAATACCAAAGCTGTAGCCTACGAGTATCTTAAATAATACAGATAATAAAGCTTGGATTATATCAATAGAACTGTATCTTGACCAAATATTGAATAACACTTCTAAACTGCAGTGAATGATGGATTTAGTTTGAAAACGTATTGTATCGTTTAGCAATTACACGATATCAGCGATAGCTTTTGCAGAACAACTTATTAATGCAAAGTATAAATCATTTAATTAGATTAAATATGACAAGCAAATATGTATTTCCTCAACAATGTGTAATCATAACGTTATTGTTTCTGCATCCTGTTTAAAAGTTATACAGGGTTAACTTAGAGCCTAAGAATATTTTTGAAATATCTGTATCTAAAAGATATAAAATATAAAAATGGCTTAATGAAAATGAAATTTATTATTTTCCTATAAACATTGAATCTGCACATCATATTTATAAATACAATGTACATGGTGTAATTTAAATAATAATGATAATAAGAAAAATAAATTGTTGTCTTGTTGATATTCGGGTCCATCACTTTTTATTTCAATCTAGCATTAGTTCTGACTTTATATAGCTTTGTAAAATTATCAATATTTTCCGTACATTGCAAATGAATTTAAGTCCAAGCCATGCTAACTTTCAGAAAGTGATAGTTACAGTGTCACAAATGAGACTAGACAAAGTGACGCCCCCGCACTCCACTCTAAAGTAACTGTATTATAACAAAGTCAGTGTAGATTTCTTTGAGATATTATTGTGTCTCTGAGACACAATTGATGCCCCCGCAGATGCAAAGTGTTACTTTAAAATAACCACAACATTTAACCGCTTATACCCCAAAAATGACAAAGTACAACTATCTCTTAAAAGAGCAAATATTAATGAAAATCAAAACCGGACCACATGCTCATCTTCAATATATGTACAAACAGCCAGCAAAAAGGAAAACTTCCTAGCATTCAAACTGTAAGAGGAGTTATCTGTCATCGCTCCTCTTATGCAAGTAAATACTACAAAAAATGACAAAGTTCAACTACCCCCCAAAAGAGCAAATATTAATAAAAATCAAAACCCTGACCACATGCATACTTTCGATATATGTACAAACAGCCAGCAAAGTGAAAACTTCCTAGCATTCAAACTGTAGGAGAAGTAATCTGGAAACACTCCTCTGATGCAAGTAAATACTACAAAAAATGACAAAGTTCAACTATCCCCCAAAAGAGCAAATATTAATAAAAAATCAAAACCCTGACCACATGCACATCTTCAATATATGTACAAACAGCCAGCAAAGTGAAAACTTCCTAGCATTCAAACTGTAAGAGGAGTTATCTGCAAACGCTCCTCTTATGCAAGTAAATACTACAAAAAATGACAAAGTTCAACTATCTCCCAAAAGAGCAAATATTTATAAAAATCAAAACCCTGACCACATGCATACTTTCGATATATGTACAAACAGCCAGCAAAGTGAAAACTTCCTAGCATTCAAACTGTAGGAGAAGTAATCTGGAAACACTCCTCTGATGCAAGTAAATACTACAAAAAATGACAAAGTTCAACTATCCCCCAAAAGAGCAAATATTAATAAAAATCAAAACCCTGACCACATGCACATCTTCAATATATGTACAAACAGCCAGCAAAGTGAAAACTTCCTAGCATTCAAACTGTAAGAGGAGTTATCTGCAAACGCTCCTCTTATGCAAGTAAATACTACAAAAAATAACAAAGTTCAACTATCTCCCAAAAGAGCAAATATTTATAAAAATCAAAACCCTGACCACATGCATACTTTCGATATATGTACAAACAGCCAGCAAAGTGAAAACTTCCTAGCATTCAAACTGTAAGAGGAGTTATCTGCAAACTCTCCTCTTATGCAAGTAAATACTACAAAAAATGACAAAGTTCAACTATCCCCCAAAAGAGCAAATATTAATAAAAATCAAAACCCTGACCACATGCACATCTTCAATATATGTACAAACAGCCAGCAAAGTGAAAACTTCCTAGCATTCAAACTGTAAGAGGAGTTATCTGCAAACGCTCCTCTTATGCAAGTAAATACTACAAAAAATGACAAAGTTCAACTATCTCCCAAAAGAGCAAATATTTATAAAAATCAAAACCCTGACCACATGCACACCTTCGATATATGTACAAACAGCCAGCAAAGTGAAAACTTCCTTGCATTCAAACTGTAGGAAGATTTATGCGGAATAACTATATACCCATGATAGGACGGACGGACGGATGAGGGTAAAACAATATGCCCCAAAGTTGCGGGGGCATAAAAAGCGTGTTTTTACAATATCTCTTTCCAGTTGACGGTGAACAAGATATATGCAAAAGAAAGGTATTTTTGCCCTATTGACTCCATAAATATATCTTATATTTAACTAAAGAAGATTGTGAGTAAAGATCAATTAAATATTAAGCAGACAAAGTCGAAAGCAGTATAATTAAGGGTCATCCTATTAACATCTAAAAAAATTACAATTGTGATTTGTAGATTCCTGCGCCAACTCAAAGTACATGAACAACACGATTAGTGCCACGTGATGTGCATGATATACTTAAACTTCCGGAGCACAGGAGATTGAACCACTGTATGTTGGGGTTCGTGTTTCTAAGTCTTTAGTTTTATATGTCTTATTTTGTTTACTGTTGTTTGTCTTTCGTAGTTATACCAAAATATATTTAAGCCTATATCAATGTGGAATAAGTTCTTATATAATCATTTATATTTTTGTTACCCCCCCCCCCCCCCCCCGAAATCATTTTGATATTTACTAGAAGTTCATTTTGGTCCTTGATTTTGTTTCTGTCCTGTATGCATAAATCAAAATTCCATAACAAATGAAACAACACTTTATAAATGGCAAGCGTTCGAAGGACTTTTCTGGATTTACCTTCATCGGGAACGCTCAAAACCGAGAATTAAAAATCAGGACTTATTTTAGTTGTTGCTTGGAAGGGATTTTAGCAAATGAATCGAAAAGTTTACAAATTGAACCAACAGAGTGCCAACGTGTGTTAAACGTTTGTATTACTACGTTGGTCCAACGTTTGTACAACATCGGCCATATTATTTAATCATTGAGCCAACGTTGGATCTATGTATTGTATAAAACCTTACAACGTTGTGCCAATAAACAAACAATAACCAAAGTTATGCATGGTTTTTAAGCATTAAGAATTGTATTGATTTTATCTTCCTCGCATGGCAGATCCGCGAAGTAGTGTTTGTGCTACTCATTTTAAAAATGAAGTTGAATCCATTTTTGTCGGTGAACATTCAGTCCATTTTTATTCAAGCTAATAAGCCTATAAACAAATAGTAATTTCTCAAAATTTCAAAAGCATCTTCTTGGAAATAGTATCCAAACATTAGTACTACATTATCTAGGAGTAGAACACCGGAAGTAAATTAGTCTGTCCTACTTCTGGTTTGAGACCGATGCCTTAGGAAAATATATTGCTATACGAGCTATAGCAAACTTTCCAAAAACAGATAGCAGATGTATGCTTTTTTAAAGCTTCATAGAACTAGAGAGAATTTCAGAAACATAGCAATACCAGTATACAGAATAAATGTTCAGAGTTTTATCTTTGCTTTTATTATTGCTCATGCATATGATCGGAATAAATACTGTTTTATGATTGATCAATACTGCATTTTTTTTTACGATGAAAGAAACTATTGTAAATTTAACTATAATGCGAGTAAGGAACGGAAAGGCAATTGAACATACAAGGCGTATAATTAGTCTCAAGTTGTATCGATTTCATCCCTGGAAAGTAATTATAAGTATTTACACAAAAGGGAAATACATGAGTGACTGATGGTAATTATTCCCTGTGTTTTTTGTTTTTTTTTAACTTTCCTGTTACGAGACCACTCATAATGATGTCACATTCTTTTTATGTTTAACATTATACTTATGTTTTATTCTATAATTTGCAAGGAAACATTTTAAAATCCGCATTAAATAGTGAAAAGTTATACTTCTTGGAATTTTATGTAGTTAACTCTAACCGAAACAGCTGTTTCGGTGATAGTTTGATCTTGTGTTTATAATTGGAATTTTTCTATATTTTCCCAGGTGGACGGACAGACGGACAGACAGAGGTAAAACGGTATAACCCCATTTTTTTCTAAGCTATCATGTTAAGTTAACCATTAAAAGACCAATGATACATGAGCATGACCTCAAAGTCAGAAGAGATTTGCCCTTGCCGGACAGACATGTAAACCTTATAATCATTTCATACATCAAATACAGTTGGTCTATTGCCCTTAGTATCTGATAAAAGAAAAAAAGTTTAAAAACTTAATATAGTTTTAATGACCAGTGGAGGTAAAGGTCAGATGAATGAAACATGTCACATAGATAGGTACACCTACAACCATTTCATACACCAAATGAAGTTGCACTATTGCTTATAATATCTTAGAAACATACCTTATTTTAAAACATTGACTAATATATCATAAAAATGACGTCAAGGTCATATGAACACTGCAAAACAACATGCAATCATTCCTTACACCATATGTAGTTGACTTATTGCTTAGACCATCTTGGATACAGATTTGATGACGAAAACATAACCTTGACTACTTATCCATGAGGTTGAGTTCAGGTGAACCCTGTCTGACGGATATGTTGACCTTTCAAAGATCTCATATACCAAATATAATTATCCTATCGCTCATTATCAGTAAGTATTTTTCATGACAAACAAGCATTCTGTGAGTATTGCATGGCAATACATAGTCCCCTACCGGTTAAAAATTCATTGTAATGGAACGAAATTCTAACTTGATCTATAACTTGTCATGGTTGAAACTACATAAAAATATCAATTCAATATCTTCAAGCATGATGAAAAAACCTGATGCAAACTGATTATTTGAGTTAATTTTATCCCTTGCTAACACTCAGGATAAAATTTGAACATTTGAACCAAGGCCATGTGTAAATTTCCAAAAAATCTATGGCTTCCATGAATATTTCTTAAATGAAATATATCCTTTATCAAAAATAGATTATAATCTAAATAAAAGAGTTCACTTTATTAAAAAAAATTTAATATATAGCATTCAGAAAACTAGATTATACAGAATGAAAAATGAGTTATTCCCCTTTGAACAGAAATCTAGTAGTTAATAAGTATTTCATCAAAATTTAATTCTAGAGAAAGGGCTTTAACTGAACAAGGAGAAAAGCTAAAATCGTGAAAATTGAACTTGACCTGTAATTTGTAATAAAACAATACACCAAATATCAAATCAATGAAGCATGAAGAAAAAAACTGGAAAACTGATTTGACGGACTGACAGATGGACAGACAGACAGACAGACGGAGTGCACACCTAAAGTCCCCTTCGACTTCACCGTCAGGAGACTAATAACCAGCTGCTCCATGAGCGCAAGATATGCCCGTCGCTTTTCTGAAAGATGAAGTTCAATAACTTCTCAATGTCATATCAGAAATTTATAAAAAAAGTAAGGGGAGGTTATTTTAATAGATATATCACCAAAGTTTCACTAAAACTGCTCAAAGCACTTTTGAGTTATTGTTCCAAACTGGAAAATCACCCCTATTTTTATAAATAAAATCCCATTACTTGGAAACTTTTAATCTCAAATTCATAAAATCGAAAAGAGAGCTAATGTCAATAGTTATAAACAATTCACCAAAGTTTCTTGCAAATTGGTGAAACTGTTTTTGAGTTATTGTCCGAACACTGGAAAATCCCCCCATTTTTAATGAATAAAACCCAATAACTTGAAAAAATAAAATCTTAAATTTATAAAAATCAAAAGGGATTTCACTTTAACAGATATATACAATTCACTAAAATTTCTTGCAAATTGATTACAGCGTTTTTTAGTTATTGTTCGACATGTTGACAACAAACAGAGGGACAGACAGACAGAAGGACAGACAGACAACAGTATACCATAATACATCCTGTAAACAGGCAGATAAAAAAACTGATCCATGAAAAATGAGGTCAAGGACAATATACACATATATGACAGACAGAAAAATTGGAACATAAGGCATCTGCATACAAGGTATGAAGCATCTCGATCTTCTACCTTCTGCAATATAAAGCTTTATGCAATCAATGCTACCAGTAACTTTCTTGAAACACCTTCTAAAATTTTAACTATTTAGCAACCAATAAAACATGCATCAACTCAAGTAAAATGTGTAGTTAACTTTAATATAAAGCCTACTCAAAGTTTCTTTTTATTGCTTAATTCATCTTTCCCAAAAAATAAGAGTAGTAATATTGCATGCATAAAAACATAAGTTATCTATATTAAAACATTTATTGGCAAAAATGTCCTTATCAGTCAGTCTCCATGTTATTTTTTGTAAATAATTTGTACAATACACGTATATACAGTATATAAAATCCAAATTAAAAAAAATAAGATGGTATTAAAAGGATATTGTATATTTCCCATGCACAAAATGGTACAACTTAATAATTCATTTAGTAAAGTTCTGTATTGTTTTGAACACTGTAGCACACATCATTCTATTCCTCACTGGCAGTATGTCTCTCTTTATCTTTAGATATCTTTTGACCTGGAAAATATCAAAGAAATACAAATTGTCATACTTTGAATTCAAAACAATAAATGGGAGACCACAACCAATATGAGGGGTTCAAATTTGCTTTAAATAATGAAAGGTCCAGGACCAATTGAAATTTTGAGCAAAAAGTCCTCCATAAGAAACCAATAGTCATGTATAAAGCATCAGTGTAAAGAATAGTAGGTCCTTGATTTTTGTAATATAAAAATGAAAAGTCCTCTCCTAGAAAAGACAAAGGTCCCGTACCCCTTATCCACACTAATTTCATCCCCTGAATATTCTAATATGAAGTTCTTTAAATGCCTTGAGTACACACCCATGGCAAAATATGATTATATTAATATGTCAGCTGATAAGCCATGTCATGATTTGTTTGAGCTGTTCCAATCATACTCCAATGGATTATGCTATATCTGCATGAGTTACACAAGGTCAGAAGGTTTCAACTGTGTCATTGAATAATGCTATAAGAATATAAACTTTCTACAGAAAAATGTACAAATGTGAAATTGAAAGTCATCAAATCATGAAAACATTTAAAAACAAAAGATGATAATTATTTATCAGGACCATTTTCTTAATAAAAATCTGATAGTCATTTAGATCAAGCTTGGTTAAATTGTTTCAGAAAATATCATGTTGCAAAACTTACATGTCCAGTGATGAATAAAACATGTTCATTGTATCTTACATCAGATGTTGAATCATCTCCCATTAAATTGTTTACCAGAAAATTGCTTCATTTTAATGTTGCTTTGGTGTACAACATTTGTGAAATCTATTTACATGCTAAATGTTTAAAAGTTGAACTTATTATGTTTGTTTCATAAGAGGAATGATTTATACACCTTATGAAAATTATCCTCCATTAAGATTTCAGAACCAAATATTAATCTTAAAATATAGCACAGCTTCATACATGTATTGTAAAACCCTTAGCGTATTTCAATAAAATCAATTACATCTATTTGGAGCAGTTGCTTTTCAAATATGATTTGGTGAATTAAAGAAGCCCTGATTATCTCCCCTTAGAGATAGACTGGTGAATTAAAGAAGTCCTGATTATCTCCCCTTAGAGATAGACTGGTGAATTAAAGAAGTCCTGATTATCTTCCCTAAGAGATAGACTGGTGAATTAAAGAAGCCCTGATTATCTCCCCTTAGTGATAGACTGGTGAGTTAAAGAAGCCCTGATTATCTCTCCTTAGAGATAGACTGGTGAATTATAGCAGTCCACATTATCTCCCCTTAGAGCTAGACTTTGGTTATTTTACTTCAGGAACATAATCATATATTGTACTTCAACTGTACCCCATCCAACATGAAGAATAGAAGGACTGTTGCCTAATTAATATATGAATGGAAAGACAAGACACATATATTAATATGAATTCTTATATAATAAGAAAGTATATAAGGGTACTAAATCACCAAGACATAAATAAAATCATGAGCAAATATTAAATATTTCGGGCCCCGGCGCCATAAAACTATTTGAGTAATTTTTTTTTGCTCAGCCTGAGAATTTTCTCAATTTTTTTATTCTCAGCAAAATACACCGCCATAAAAAAGTTCTCAGATATTTTTTTACTCAAAGTTAAGAATATTCTTAAATATTTGAGTATAGCCGAAACCATACTTAAGTATAAAAAAAAATTCTTAAATGTTGCTATTGAGGGTATTTTGATACAAAAAAATACAACTGTTAATAGGGTTTTTGTTAAAATTTTGTTAAAATTTGCATTGAAGAACGTCACTTATCTGCACAAATGAAATTGTACCCGAAAAAAACATACACATCATTACTCAGTCCAACATTTTTTCTTTGGTTAATGTTGTTTTTTCATATATTTTTTTAGGATAAATACTCAATATCAATTTTGTCAAAAACTGTAAAAATTGAGGTTTCAGGCTTTTTCCAGGGTTCATAATTTGTTGATTTATTTAAAATAATTAATCATACTATTGTTAGAACAATAAAAAAAAGTACATATGGTGCTGTGATACTATGAATTTTAGAAAAGATTGAAAGACTTTTTAAATCTAGTGTGAAATAGCTTCACTGCTCATTTGTTGTTGTATGAAATCACCCACATTTTAGTGGGCATCGGCTATTTGAGCGAAAATAATGATGTGATGGGATGCCAGAATCTCAAAATAATTGGAAGCCAACATCCAAATGCTGAGGTATTCAATATAGAATTAAAAGAACTACTTTAGCATCTATCAATGGTGAAAATGCCATTTTAATATTTTTCTTCATTTTCTGTAGACACTTTTCTAAAATATGCTATAAACAGAAATGATAGTGTTTTTTTTTTTTTTTTTTTTTTTTTTTTTAAACAAAACAATCTAACAACTACAAAAGTTATTTAATATAATCATGAGAGCATCCAATAACCAATAAAATCCTTTAGGCTGCATCTGCTATACATAGAAATAAATGAATAAGTATGATTTTTGTAAAATGAGTATGTTGATACTATCAAAAAATGCAATATAGTAGAAATATTCCAAATATGGCCATAACATTTTCTTTGAACATTGAAAAATTTAGTAGCATACAACATAATTTGACCTTTAGAAATCAAAATATGTCTTATCATTCTGTGTGATAGCATATGAGAATTAAAAAATTGTTCGTTGTAGCATACCGAATTTTAAAAGAGATCACAAAAAACCGACCAATTAAACAGCTTCTCATTGTAGATACTCCTACTCTAGTAGAATTATGCATTATATATCCCGCTTGAATATCAGATCTTTATTTGAAATTTCCCAAGATATACGAGGTGATTTACAGAATAGAAAATACCCCCCCCCCCCCCACCAAAATAAAATAAAGAAAAAAATGTGCAAAAAAAAAATTAAAGAAAAAAGACTGAATAATTGGGTGCTAAAATGTATAATTTTTTTTAAATAGAAATTAAGAATACGGTAAAACGAATAAAATATGGAACTGGTCGTAATCGGAATTGGTCAATTGATGTAGGTAAGCGATGCAATTTCTGTACATTCGTAAGCATCAGTATTTTGCTCCATAATCACGATCTTGCATGAGGAGTTAACAAATCTTGACGTATCATTTCGTCCCCTATTGCACTCAAAGTCAACCTTGCATCCTTCTCATGTATTGTGTCAAAAATGATTACACATTACAACACTGATGAAACAGTTCGTGACAGAGGTCAGACCAAGATGACCATTGACAACAAATAGCTCTGCAATAGTAGAAAACAAATTGAAAACAACAAATCAGAAATATGACCAAAAGGACTTTAAAATAATAGCCAATTAAATGAGTTGAAGGTCAACTTTGCCCGATGGAGTTGAAATCTCAGTTTCTTTGAATTTTCAAAATTTATAAATGAACAATTAACGGGAATTAAATAGAATTGCAGAATCAAAAAGTCTCTTTCGCCAGCATGCTTAATACGTCTTCGGTTTCAGATTTGTAAGATCCATAATTCATTGCAATTTAAAACTTCAATTGTTTGGTAAGGGCTATTCAACTCATACTCGAGGACGGATAACATTGTCTATGAATTTTTGGGGGTATTGCATTTTTTGTTCACTACCAATAAATGTTAAATATATTTTAATATTCTCCAAAATAATTGATAAATAGGCAATATTTTATATTTTGTTGGACAGTTGGTCTATCAAGGATAAAATCTAGTTCAGGAGGTTGATTTTTTTCTATTAGTTTTCAGATCTCTCTTAAAAAACTACTTTTTACAAATTACTACAGCTACCTTAATTATATTGCAGTACTGGTACAGCTTTAAAAGCATATTTTAAACTTAGAAAAGATTTGTTATCTCTAAATCCTAGCTTAAAAACTAGTATACATGTTTTTGATCATACTATTAAGCCTATTCTTCTTTATGGAAGTGAAATTTTGAGCTCATTTAATCCCTTTATAGCAAAATATAGATCTGGAAACCAGATAACATTAGATAAAATTTATTCGAATTTAACTTGTGAAAAGCTACACAGTAAATTTTGTAAATCTATTCTGGGTGTGCACAAAAAAAACACAAATTTTGCAGCCTTATCTGAACTTGGTTGATTTCCACTGTACTTTGACTTAGTCAAATCTATTTTGAATTATTAGCTTAGATTAGAAAATTTAGACTCATTTCCTTTATTACAAGATGCATACCAGCATTCAAAAACTTTATTTTCTCAGCATAAATCGTCATGGTATGGCTCTCTCCAACAAATTTTAAAAACTCTTCCTGGGTTTACAAACCTAAATGATGGGGAAAATATTTAAAAAAAATACCAGCAGGAAAATATTGAAAGAGACGTGCATAAAAATTTGGAAGGATCAACTGACCAAGAATTCAGAAGGGAAGCTCCACATTTATATAAAATTTAAGAATAATTATGGTTTTGAAAAATATCTAAATATCAAGTCCAATTTTGAACTTAGGAGATCATTAACAAAATTTAGGGTGTCATCTCACCATTTGCAGATTGAAATAGGACGATACCAGGGTACTCCTCCACACCTTAGACTATGACAGCAGTGTAACTCTGGTGATATTGAAGGTGAAGTTCATTTTCTCTTTTATAGCACAAAATATATTGAAGACAGACACCATTTATATCACATTATTTCGGAATCATGTCACAATTTCATTAACTTAAATTCCCAAGAGAAATTGCTATGGCTGCTGTCTTGTGAGAACTCAACTGTATTAAAAGAGTTGTGTATATTCCTGGTTAAACACTGCAAATAGCAGATTTATATGACATGTTTCGCATAATTAGCAATTGTTGTTATTTAAAAAAAAAAATATTTGTTAATTGACCGGATTCAGTTTCTCTATTTATTTTGTTCATCTGCTTCTGACATGGGGAGGATTGCTGTTATTGCCTATTGCAATCAACAGTATATCCTAGAACACCGTCCCTTGGTGTCTCCTGCAGATGAGTAAATTTCCATCTTTATAGATAATAATTTAAGTTTGTTCAAATTTTATTATTAATATTTTTTAATTTTTTTTTTATTTGTGCACTGCTGGACACAGAAATAATAATGGTAATAAGGAAGGAAGGAAAAAAACAAAATACTCAAGAGTACTTTTAATGTATTTTTGTAATTATTAATGCTATTTTCATTTGTCTATTATAATATCTGTCACGTTATGTACTGTACAATGTCTCATGTTTGTTGCTTGTACTATCATAATTGTTAATTGTAAATGCCCTATGGGACACTGATTTGAATAATAAAATATTTGATATTTGATTTGATTTGGTACCTCATATCTTCAAACCAAATACATGTAATGTCACCCTATCTACTGATTATTATCTCAGATATCCAAATTATTACAAAGAAAGTAAAATACTTTCCCCCTGTTTGGTTTTAAACAGATATTAGTCAAAATTGTGTGCAGTACAGTGACAGATTCGGGGGAGGGGAAACCCGGGAAAGGGGGATGGTTTGTATTACAGGGTAGTGTCGTCATACATATGTCTTTGATACAGAAAAAAGTTATCATGTCAAAATCATGATACAGAAATTTCTTCCATATGCACGATTAGAAAACAAGAATCATTTACAGAATAAACATTTCTAATACTGGATAGAGAAAAATGGCCAATAGAATTACAGAATATGGAAAAATAGAACACGCTCCCCCACTCCCCCTTTTCCCTTATCAAGACCCTCATAAATCATTGTGACGGATAGTTTTGTTTGTTCTATTTTACTGTTTTTATTTTCGAAAAAAAATATTTGTACAAGGTGTTGTGAATAAATGTAATGGACAATACCGGTATATGCCATGCCTTCTCACCCAACGTCGTACTTTCATTTTCTCTTCCTGTGCAATATATTAAACTCATTATGAGGAGCAATTTTTATTACAACTTGCATAATTGTTAAATCATATTCAATTCTGTATCAAATTTATATTAATTTTAAAAGTTACATATCTTGAATATTAAAAACAGATTAAAATTATTTACTGGCATTCATATTAATATAAAAATATCCGGTTTGTTGGGTTTTTTTTTTTTGTTATGTTTTGTTTTTTTGTTTATTTGTAGATCTGAGAAAAAAGCAGCTCTGTTTCACTTTAATAAACAATTGGCTTAAAATTGTCACATGGTGTCTTCTTAGTCGTCTGAATACATAATGTATGTCATTGATCCGTAATATGTTTATTTGGCATACCATACTCGATAGAAGTGCGGACGTGAAAGAAAGCACTCTTCACGTAAACGTCAAGGAAGGTTACATGAGGGTGGTAAAGGGTTATTTTCGTGCAACGTGTTTTGCCATTTTGATTGCACGTGCAGCCGTGAAAAAAGTTCGTTATTCACCGTGTTTCATGAAAAGATCAACGTGCAAGAAAATTTTGATTGTTTGTTCATCGTGATATGGCAATTTTATTTCGCGTTCTTCCATACAGATACCCCCTCCCCCCACCCCACCCTTTTACACCCCTCTTACATTCCAAGGAGATTACATTTCGAAGATTTCACCATTTATAAAACATAATCATTAATACGTGTATCTTAAGACAAAACTTGTATGAGAAATATAAAAAGTAATATATATTTATAACAAGCTACGGGTTAATAACTCAAATATTTCAAGATCTTCTCCAGTGTGACTTTTTGTCAGGACTGTGACTTTCTGTCCATGTATTTACCGATGCTTACAAAATGCTACTTGTCATTTTATCTATCATTGATTCTTTTTATGTTTTACAGTGTTGCTAAAGAGATAAAACCTGCATTTTTGTGAAGTTAGGTACACTTTTTAGTTTTCAAACATCTATTTTACCGCTTACATCACTGAGAAAAAAATTCTCAGCTGAGAAAAAAAAATCTCAGCTAAGAATATTCTCAAAGTTGAGAATTTTTTTTATGGCAGAGAAAAAAGTTCTTATTCATTGCTGAGTAATATAATGCATTCTGAGAATATTTTTTTACTCAGAAAATAAGAGTTTTATGGCTCCGGGGCTGGATAACTAATATCCTTTATCAGTAAGATGTCAAATGATTCATATCTTGCGTGTGTTAGTGGAACTTAAATAACAATTTTGATCGTCATACAAATTATCAAGAATCAAAAAGTTGGTTAATTTGTTCAATATTGATGTTTGGGGGGAGGAATAAATTCTTTCAAATTGTATGAGTCCTGTTCCCAAGTTAAGAATCATTTGATATCTTACTGATGAAAGATATTAGTTTTCCTAAATATTTTACATTTGTTCATAATTTTACTATTTTTTGGCGTTTTTGTACCCTTTCAGACTTGCTTATTGTACATCATATTTTGTAGTTTACTGTATCATATTTATACGATTGATCACAGATTTGATTTTATACTGTAAAGTTAGAAACAAATGCATTCATTATTGCAAATCATTGACTATTTGTAAAAATGCAAAATCTAATTAATATGATTGCACAAATTTGGTTGGGGAAAATCACAACTGAAACTATGAATGTGAGTCTTGAAATTTGTACAACTACTTAATTTGTACACAAAGAAAAGATAGTAGTATTGCATGCATAAAAATATAAGTTATCTATATTAAAAACATTTACTGGCAAAAGACTAGAAAATGTCCACCAAACTCTAAGATTTTCTTTGACATCTGTGCAACTACATCTCACAAAGAGAGTCCATTAACTTTCCAATATCTAAGAATGTTTGCACCAGAAGTTTTCTGTCTTCTTTCCTTAGAATATTGTATTCTTCGCTGTATGTTACAAATGCTTCTTTTTGATGCAAATGTCCACTACATAAATTGTCATAATACCCATCATCTGCTTTAAAAGCAGTAAATGTCACCTGAAAAAATAAAATTTGCTTTTATTATATGTATTTTTAATAAAAAGACTTCCTATTTATTGTCACCCGCACACATATTCTATATTTTTAAAAGGTCAATCCTCCAGCATTATAAAACTTGTCTGAGATATTGCGGATATTAACTTATTGTTTAAGTTTTATAAAAATCTGACAAGAATTGTACCTGTGAGAGTGCTAATGAAGCCATTTTCCATAAATTTAATATTTCCAAGGGGCATAACCTCTTTTAATAAAATGCTCCGCTGGGCGCAGCTTAATATGACCGCAGAGGTCGAACCCTGAACAGTACAGGCAAGTATGGACACAACATTCAAGCTTGATACAGCTCTGAATTTAGATTGTGATTAAATATTTGACACAGCATAAGTTTCTGACACAGAATGAATGTGGTCTAAGAACTTGATTTTTTTTAATTTACCTATTTTGGTCCAATATCCAAAATCTAAATACATGGTTAGATTCAGCATATCAAATAATCCAAAGAATTCTATTTTTGATGAAATCAAACAAAGCTTAATTTTGGACCCTTTTGACCTCAATGTGGACCAATTTGATAATCGGGCCCAAAAATCAAAATACATGGTTAGATTCAGCATATCAAAGAACCCCATATATTCAATTTTTGTTGAAATCAAACAAAGTTTAATTTTGGACCAACTTAAAAACTGGGCCCATAATCAAAAATCTAAACACATGTTTAGATTCAGCATATCAAAGAACCCCAAGAATTCAATTTTTGTTAAAATCAAACTAAGTTTAATTTTGGACCCTTTGGACCTTAATGTAGACCAATTTTAATAACGGGACCCAAAATTAAAAATCTAAATACACGGTTAGATTTGGCATATCATAGAACCCCAATAATTCAATTTTGGATGAAATAAAACAAGGTATAATTTTGGACCCTTTTGACCTCAATATGAACCAATTTGATAGCGGGGCCCACAAATAAAAAATCTAAATACATGGTTAGATTCCGCATTTCAAAGAACCCCATATATTCAATTTTTGTTGAAATCAAACAAAGTTTGATTTTGGACCCCAATTTGGACCAACTTGAAAACTGGGCCGGAAATCAAAAATCTAAATACATGTTTAGATTCAGCATATCAAAGAACCCCATATATTCATTTTTTGTTAAAATCAAACTGAATTTAATTTTGGACCCTTTGGACCTTAATGTAGACCAATTTGAAAACTGGACCCAAAATTAAAAATCTAAATACACGGTTAGATTTGGCATATCAAAGAACCCCAACAATTCAATTTTTGATGAAATAAAACAAAGTTTAATTTTGGACCCTTTTGACCTCAATATGAACCAATTTGATAGCGGGGCCCACAAATAAAAAATCTAAATACATGGTTAGATTCAGCATATATATCAAAGAACCCCATATATTCAATTTTTGTTGAAATCAAACAAAGTTTAATTTTGGACCCCAATTTGGACCAACTTGAAAACTGGACTGGAAATCAAAAAACTAAATACATGTTTAGATTCAGCATATTAAAGAACCCCATATATTCAATTTTTGTTAAAATCAAACTAAGTTTAATTTTGGACCCTTTGGACCTTAATGTAGACCAATTTGAAAATTAGACCCAAAATTAAAAATCTAAATACATGGTCAGATTTGGCATAACAAATAAATAAATGTGGTCAAAGATTTTACATATCTAATGCGCAATACTGTGCAATTAAAGAAAACTTCTTGAAATTTTTCAATATTTGAAATTTGAAAAAAAAAAAATATTTGAAGAATAATATATCTTTTAATTTCTGAAATCTGAAATGAGAAAAAATTGACCCCCACAATTTCTTTTTACGCCCCCCCCCCCCCCCCCCCCACCCCCTCCTTTTTCCCCAAAAAAATTCTTTGCCTCAAGATATGGTCATAATCTCAATTCAAATTTTCAATGGAATTTGCAACCATAATTACCCATTTTAATTTACCATAGTGCTAACTTAATCTATTTATAATAGAATTTAAAATATGGTGTCAAATCTTTCATATGGATTTTTTTGTAAAAAAAAAAAGATGCAACATTTGCAGATATTTTTACTGGTCTTCCTTTATAAATATGCATTTCTTTACACATAATTTAAAAGCAGTGTAAGGGAAGTAATCAAAACGTTGTATGTGGATAACCTCCCTTACATTGTTTTAAATTGTCTTAATTGTTCATTAACCATTACTTTATACATAATTTAAAAGCAGTGTAAGGGAGGTAATTCAAATGATGTATTTGATTTATCTCCCTTACACTGCTTTAAATTATGTTTTGTACTAAAGTATTTGTCCATATAAAATTGCTTGTTTTTTGCCCCTTTTTGGCCCCTAATTCCTAAAATTTTGAGGCAATTACCCCCAAAATCCATATTTGATATGGAACCTTGTGGTACAATGTCAGAGAGATCCATACACTAACACACAAGTTATGTCTGGAAGTTACAAAATGCTTATTTTTGGCCCCTAATTCCTTAACTGTTGGTACCATAACCCCCAAAATCAATCCCAACCTTCCTTTTGTGGTATTGAACCTTATGGTTAAATTTCATAGAGATCCATTCACTTAAACTAAAGTAAGAGTGCGAAAACCAATGTGTCTTCGAACGACGACGACAACATCGATGCCAACGTCATACCAATATATGATCGCAAAATTTTTTGCGGTCGTATAAAAAAAGTTTATCGACCACCTTTATATAACTTGTCTGAGATATTGCTGATATTAACCTATAGTATCAGTTTTATAAAAAATCTGACAAGAATTGTACTTGTGAGAGCAGTAACAAGACCAGATGGACAGAGGGACACATGGGCAGATCATGGTTCCCACAATGCATTACATGGTGGACAAAATTGTATGTAAAATGCCACCTTCTGAGACTACCTAATCATCACTTTCAGAGTTCTGTGACTTTATTGTAATTAGGAAGAATCAGAGATGCGGAAATCAACTATAAATGACAACGTCCTGGCAAAAAAACAAAAACAATGAAATTGCAAAAAAGTTAACTCAACACCACATACATGTAGAAAACTGAAGACTGAGAGACATTCACCCCACCAAATAAACCAAAACAGGGGTAATCCAAGGTGCTCTGGAAGGGTTACTTACTTTTGTTCCTTGTATAATGAAACCAAACATTCCATTCTTTCCAAACGCAGAATATGGTAGTGTACACAGGAACTGTCCACAATGTTGACCTTTGAGGTCCGATCCAATATGTGGAGCATTAGATCCTTTTGGCATATTTGTTAAATTTCTTGTGTGGTCACTGCCTTCATCTTGGCTGCATCCCTTAACCTGAAATACAAACCAGTATTAATCATGGGTTTGAAAAATATAATAAACCATCAACTAGAGAACCAAGTCTGACTTATCTTAAAGTAAAAAAAGTGGCCCATTGATTTCAGAGATGAGTTCTGAATATATTTATCTTCCATGAGAGAGGTAATGGGGGTACCTTCATGACGAAGAACGGTAAAAATTCTTGCCAAATGACGTTAATGGTGATTTTTTGTGCATGACGTAAAAATGTACACTTTCCTTAAGGCGATAAAAAAATTGGCTCACGCTAAATTTTTTTCCATAAATGACGGTAATGATTACGATAATTATTTGAGACCTCTGACGAATCACTATAAGGTTATTTTGACGAATCCTGGTAAAATTTTAACCAATTAGACACTAACGGTAGCCAAAAATGACCATTTGACGCCTGACAGTAAAGGGCATTCCTACCCTCTTTCATAGCTAGATTATTACAAAAACCTAGTGTAACTCCAACCATGAAAACCCTAGATACCAAACAGATCAAGTAATGGAGGTCACAGTTTTGTGATGTTAACTTCATTTCAACCTAATAGACAACAAAACATATTGGTTATTTTACCCCTATAACAGCACAAATCTTGTCATCACCAGTTGTTGTAGGATGGCATATAATTGCATCAGGTTTGGCAACAAAATCTTTTTCATTAATTTTCATTAAGTAATTTTCAACACTTGGACTGCTCCTAAAAAACATAAATAAAAGTATGTTTTCTTTGCCAATTTTAATGATCATAAATAATAAGGTCAAACAAAAAAACAACATCTTTAGAGTTTCCTCTTTCATAAAATTATAGTACAGTCGAACCTCGTTGTGTCGAAGTCGAAGGGACCGGACCAAAGTATTCGACACATCCGAGGTTCGACTCATCCGAGGTCGTGTATGTCGTCATAATTTTGGAATGCATGAAATACGGTATGATTTGTGTAAACTAGATACAATGAACAGTGTGCCTTTTTTCGATACGACACATTATGATTGTGTATTAAATCTCCATTTTTGGTCCTTCATAATAATTAAACACACAAGTATAGATACAAATCATGTACAAATAAAATCAATAGTATACACAAATATTTACAAAGGTCAGTCATTATAAATTATGAAATCACTCGCGGAACGAATTAAGTTATGAACGGTGTCTGATGAGCCATAGGTCGTCTGCTTTACATTAAATTATCATGAATTTATCATAATTTTTATTTACTGTAATTAATGAGTTTTAAATCTAATGATTCATTTAAACTCGGCTTGGGTCATTTAAATCGTTTTGTTTTTATCTGATGTGAAAAAGTTTAACACACTAACATTCCGCTTGAACGATCAACCAAGGGTGTTAATTACTGGTCACCATAAACATGTCATTTTTAATTGTTATACAAACAATTATGTTTACTCAGCTTTAATCTCTTTTGAAAATGATTAGGTTACATAAGAAATACATCAGATTTGAATTTTTATCATTAGATCTGCATCTTTTGAAAATTCTTACTTTCGAACTTCGAGTCATCGGGTTCAATTTACATGAATTTTACATCGACGGGACTATAAAATTTACTAGACTTAACCAAGTATTCGAATCAACCGAGTTCGACTCATCAGAGGTAATTATGCATTGATCAAACGGGAATTTTACCGGGACCGAGAAATTACTTCGACTCATTCGAGTATCAACACAACCAAGTTCGACTGTACATGTATGTCATATATGTACAATTGAACGTAAGGATTTGTTTTCCAATTAAATCATGAGTGTATTCAGATATCTGCAATTTTCCCTATAGATTAACTAGTACCACATGCACTAGTACCATAATAAATACATGTACATTGACCATGTATGATATTAACCTGAAAATATTAAAATTTACTTGTACAAGCTTCAGAAAAAGGAAGAAAAATGTGGCTTTTCTGTTCAATGCAAGTAGGAATAAATATTGTTTTTTTTTTTCAGATAAGGTATACAAATATTGTATTTATCATGTGTTTATCCTGCAATTAAACCTTTTTGCTGCTTGGTTTTTATCTGGTCTGATTTTCATAGAAATCAACAAGGCTTAAGGGAGCTACCATTTGATTTTTATGGGGGGGCTAGGATGTGAAAAATTTTGTCCTGGATTTTTTTTAGTTGTAATCTCTGTCCTGCCTTTTTATTTTTCACTCTGTTCGGTCCTGCCTTTTTTTTTTTATTAGTTTATCCTGACTTTATTTACATAAATTGTCATCCTGCCTTTTTTTTTTGCCTAGTTGCTCATCCTGCCTTTTTTTTTTACTCAAAACTCCTGTCTTGCCTTTTTTTTCAAATTTCATCCTAGCCCCCTCATAAAAATCAAATGGTAGCTCCCTAAATATGTTAAATGCAGACCGCAAATAGGACCCAAAAATGAACAGTGACGTAAACACAACATGTAATTCTATTTGGTGAGAGATTTTTTTCTCTGTTAGATGTCTCAATGTGACTTTCAGATGAAAATCAGCAATTAAAGTGCTGTTCTTTCGCATGGGGTTTAGTTTAAAGTGAATTTTTGCACAATTATATGCAAACTCTTTTGGATGTAAATCTGTTGTTATAATAGTTGCATATATCTTTCCTAAAATAGACTTCAAAGACCATTTTAATTTTTTTTTAAATTACAAAAGACTAACTTTAATTTGGGCTTTGTTTTTTGAATTACAAAAAAGTTCAGGACCTCCCTCTCATTACATTCAAATGACATTGATGCTTTCTAAGGGGCATTTGACTTTGTTAAAAAGGGTTTTTCATTCAATTCATTAAAAGGGTTCATGAGGGATAAAAGCTCATTAAAGATTCCAGGCTTATAATTTTTCACACCAGATATACTTTTCATCTACGAAAGACATATCAGTGATGCTCAAAAGAAAAGCAAACAAAGCAAATACAAAGATAAGAGCATTGATCATGAGGACCCAAGACTTCTGAACGGTTTTGTCTAATATACATCAGTGTACATGTACATGTATCTATAGTAATCTATTCCTGTCAAAGGAAAATCCTTAGTATTTCGACTAATTTAACTAATTTAACATCTTGTAAACTGTTAAATCATAAATATGACCGATGGCCATATCAAAGAGGAAATTTCGTATCTTTAAAGAAGATTTAACCCTTGCAAGATTAAATATGCATTATACATGTGCAATGATGTATACACATAACAAATAAAATTGTACTTACACAATATTTAAGCCAAATGTTCTAGCAAAAGTGACAAAGAGTTCTTGAAACATTCCTTCTGACAATTCTTGTGATTTGTTTCCTTTTGATCTTCTGTGCATGTATAAAAGCTGCCACACAAATGTCTTCAGACTTGCTGATAGTTCTCTACAAATTCTACAAAATAGCCAACATAAATTATATATATATATATATATCTAGTGGGTACATTGTACATTATAATTATGTTAGTAAACAAGATATGGATCAACAAACATGACACACATAAACTACATGCTTGACATATTCAAGTTTTAAAAATGAACATGTGGTTCATGTAAATAAATATGTATACGTTTAAACCCGCTGCATTTGTTTGCACCTGTCCTAAGTCAGGAGTCTGATGTTCAGTAGTTGTCGTTTGTTGATGTGGTTCATAAGTGTTTCTCGTTTCTCATTTTTTATATAGATTAGACCGTTGGTTTTCCCGTTTGAATGGTTTTACACTAGTAATTTTTTGGGGCCCTTTATAGCTTACTGTTCGGTGTGAGCCAAGGCTCCGTGTTGAAGACCGTACTGTGACCTATAATGTTTTACTTTTATAAATTTTGACTTGGATGGAGGGTTGTCTCATTGGCACTCATACCACATCTTCTTATATCTATATACAAAGTTTAGCACATGCACAATAGTCATGATAAGTATGAGTGAATACTTTTTTTACAACATGTACAACATGTACATAATTGAGATACAAAATTTGAGCTTTCCTGATATATTTTTTTTTTAAAGTAAATCCAGAAAAATGCTTAATGTACTTTATTTTCATCTACTACATGTACTAGCAGTGGGTTTAAAACATTTATTGCTGGTGGACTTTTAGTTTCTGTTGGAAGCTTAATTACTGACATGAATTTTAACATGCTTTTCTAAAAATCCCCATTGATAAACAAGAAATCATGGCAATTAAGTCATGCAAAATTGACCTTGTGTTTACAACAATGCATGATATATATGATATATTGTTGATGTGGTTCATAAGTGTTTTTCGTTTCTCGTTTTTTATATACATGTAAATTAGACCGTTGGTTTTCCGGTTTGAATGGTCTTACACTAGTCATTTTTGGGGCCCTTTATAGCTTGCTGCTCGGTGTGAACCAAAGCTCTGTGTTGAAGACCGTACTTTGACCTATAATGGTTTACTTTTACAAATTGTGACTTGGATGGAGAGTTGTCTCATTGGCACTCAAACCACATCTTGTTATATCTATGATATTGTATGAATTTGGCTATTGGATATATATTCTATTAATGTCCCTATTGATACATACATGTTTTTGTACATTGTAATAGGCATACACATGTAACTCAGAATGTTTCTACATGTACATGTATGTATTTATTCATCCATTTCAAATGTTTAGGACTTTAGTGTTCCTGATAAATCAAGGAAAATACTTCAGATACCAAAAATATATACACATGATATATTTACATAAATTTGTATATATCAGACTGGGGTACCCTTTGTAGTACAGTCAGGGGTACTACTTGTACAAGTAATCTTTATTTACTTGAAGAAGTAAAAAAAATATACTTATATAAGTTAATTATAATGTTTGAATAATCTCCCCTTAATTTTCTCAAAAATTCACTTGTATAAGTAAAATTTTTTTACTATCCCACAAAAATTCTCAAAACATGCCTTTAATGATTTTTCCCAGGTTAGCTCATAATTTTTTATTAGAGTTCAATGTTTCATCTCATTAATTCAACAAAGAAACTGATTGAGCAAAGATCTTAAGTATTTGCGCAAGGCCTTCAAAAATTGCTTCTTGGGGGCTTGTAAATGAGCAGTGTTCTGAAGATAACAGACAAATGAGATTTTCATTGTCCATGAAATTACACTTAAATGATTAGTTAAGACATCTGCAAAGGACAGACAATTTAAAATTCTATTAGAGCAAAGAAGTCCTAAGAATTCAAGAAAAGAAGATAGGATGACTTTTTCTCTTATATACATGTAAGTAAAAAAATCTGAATGTCTAAGGGACATAATTAAGCCAATTTTTTTTTTACCTATACAAGTAATTAAAATACACTTGTATAAGTATCCTACAAATTTACTTATATAAGTTTATTAATATTTACTTCTTCAGGTAAATGAAAATTACTTGTACAAGTAGTACTCCTGACTGTAGTATGGAACCTTGTAGTACAATTTTAGAGAGATCCATATGCTTAAAGACAAGTTATTGTCTGGAAAGAAGAAAAATGCTTGTTATTGGTCCCTTTTTTGCCCTTAATTCCTGCATGGTTGGGGCAATTAACCCCAAACTCAATCCCAGCCTTCCCTTTGTGATATGTAACCTTGTGGTAAAATGTCAGAGAGATCCATACACTTACACACAAGTTATTGTCCGAAAACTACAAAAATGCTTGTTTTTGGCCCCTCATTCCTAAACTGTTGGTACCATAACCCCCAAAATCAATCCCAATCTTCCTTTTGTGGTATTGAACCTTCTTGTAAAACTTGATAGAGATCCATTCACTTAAACTAAAGTTATTGTCTGGAAACCAAATGTGTCTTTGGACGACGAAGACAACATCATAGCATTATACGAACCCCAAAAAGTTTTTGTGGTCATATAAAAATCTGCAAATACTGTTGATTCAAATTAAATTTTCTATAACTAAATTCCATACATTCATCTCAGCATGGTCAACTTGATGCAATGCAAGCAATTATAACAGTAATTGATTTGGTTTCACTTGAAAGTTTTCTGTCAAAGGTAGATAGTTCACTTTAAAAAAAAACTGGCCACCAAAATTTTAGTCAAGTTTGCTTAAGGATGTATTCTTCTGACGTTTCAGTCTCGTTGAAATCTCGTTCTGGAATTATTTCCAAAACATGTGATACAAGTTGAAATTATCAATGAATTTTAAAAATGTTATAATCAAACTTAACTCTGTGAAAAAATTGTGTATTTACAATAAGTAGTTTTTGAGTAATAAATTTTTCAAATGTTATTACCAATCAAGTCAGTCTTTTTAGCCCAAATTTTGAGAAAATGGGTGAGGGGTGCAAGAAATGACTTTACCAGAAACAAGTTCATCACATGTCACTTTTTTCTTTTCAAATTTCTTAGATATGTATTTTTTCAATCATTTATAACAAAGAAGTGTTATAATAACAAGCAAATAATATGCATTTTGTTCTTAAAACAGAGAAAAATCCCAAATTTACAAAATTGACATCATGGTAAATTTGACACAAAAAAGCATCAAAATATGATAAAACTTACTTATATTAACACCTACCTATAGTTTTTTTAAGTTAAATTTATTCAGATTGGTCTACTTCATCTTTAGTGAAAGTATGAAAAAAATATATTGATTGTGGAACTATGATTTTTTTCACAATAATAGCCCAAAAATGGATAAAAATTGATGAAAAATGGGAAAATCATAAAAATTGGGACTTTCAATGGGCCGTGGCAAAAAAAGAAGTGCACCACCATATGATTTTTTCTTCACCAATTATTTTTTTACAGTCATATAAACCCAAAAATCAGGTTAAGAAAAAAAGTTTAATTCTAGAAATTTTGGCTCCTCAGAGGTGTAAATTCTTAAACTAGAGTTTCCATTATAAACATATATTAAAAATTTCTAAATATATCCAATGCAGATATGTGTCAGGCCAAGGCCATGATTGGGTTTTGAGCACTTGTTAGCATTTCAAACCCGTTCATTTTCTCGACCCAAATCATAATTGCTTTTCATCTAATACTTTTACATAAAAGTACGAGGGTAGGAATGCCTTTTCCAGCAGGCGTCACACAGCCCTTTTCTGAAATGTTTCATGAAAATAAAACTATTGACAGCAACAAATAACTGGTTCCGTACTCGAGCCTGATTCATGTGTGGCACAGTGCGCTTGACTCTTTATTATCGCAATCACATACTAAAATATTCTAACTTTCGTTTTAAACAAGAATGTGTCCATAGTACACGGATGCCCCACTCCCACTATCATTTTCTATGTTCAGTGGACCGTGTAATTGGGGTCAAAAATCTAATGTGGCATTGAAATTAGAAAGGGAACATGTACATGTGTAGTCAGAGCTCAGACATAAATAAGTCTAAATCTGCTTTTGACTCAGAGAGGTCTCAGTTTGTAGGCTTCAAGATTTGTCTACCTTTAATTTAAGTCAAATTAAGACTTCAATAAGTCAATTAGTGTTAAGCAGGAAATATTTGACCTGAATTAAAAAGTTGCATATATTGACTCCTACAAGTCAATAAGTTACCAAAATTGGTCAACTTCAAGACCCAAGCATATTTATAAAAAGGTCAAGCATCTACATGAAATTATGACAACATTGAAAGACAATGCTTTGTCTTCTAAAGAAAATATGCATGAGAGCCTAAAAAACTGGAGATAATGTTTATTTACTTTACAATGCAACCTTCTATAACCACACAAAATGAGGAAAATAATCTTATGTTAAGTAAAAATGTTCAATTAGATAATTAAATATAGATAGCTCAGGTCCTTGTGAACTCTCTGAGTGAGTGAGTGAGACAGGTTTATGATGTCATAGGTGGTGCACTTTGGCCACCAATTAAAATTAAGTCTTTTCATAAACATAAATAGACCTAAACAAGTCTGTCATTTTCTGACTTAAATAAGTCTGAAAATGAAAACACAATTTTATAATAAATACATTTTTTGACTTCTGTAAGTCAAAAACCAAAAACGACTTGTTATGTCTGAGCTCTGACTGTGCTAAGTTTCAAGTTGATTGGACTTCAACTTCATCAAAAACTACCTTGAACAAAAACTTTAACCAAAAACTTTAACCTGAAGCGGGATAGACAGACGAACAGACGAACAGACGAACAAACAGACGCACACACCATAAAACATAATGCCCATAAATGGAACATAAGAACACATGCTGTTGAAAACTGGAATATGATTTGATTGCCTTAAAGACCTGAACACAGACGGAACAACTAAATCCATGTATTTTTTCAAGCATCATTGATTTGAAGTCTTACTCTCCACGTACAGTCAGGTACTACTTGTACAAGTAATCTTTATTTACTTGAAGAAGTAAATAAAATATACTTATATAAGTTAATTATAATGTTTGAATAATCTCCCCTTAATTTTCTCAAAAATTTACTAGTATAAGTAATTTTTTTTTACAATCCCACAAAAATTCTCAAGTTTTGACTTGTAAAAACATGCCTTTAACAATTTTTTCTCAGCTCATAATTTTTCTTAGCTCATAATTTTTTATTAGAGTTCAATGTTTCATCTCATTGATTCAACAAAGAAACTGATTGCGCAAAGATCTTAAGTATTTGTGCATGGCCTTCAAAAATTGCCCCTTGGGGGCTTGTAAATGAGCAGTGTTCTGAAGATAACAGACAAATAAGATTTTCATTGTCCATGAAATTACACTTAGTATATGTAATGAATGATAATCCCTTTCTTCATGAATAAGTACGAGCGTTAGCGAGTACTTATCATGAAGTAAGGGATTATCATTCTCTTACAAACTTAGAATATTGTAAAGTGCTCAAGGCTCAAATGATCTATTCAAGAATTAGTTTCATTGTCAGTGCAATGTTTTTAATTGATGCATGACTTCCTTTTTCGGCATGTCATTTATGGATTAGTTTTAGTGATGTGAGGACTTTCTTATCATTTGGGAAATATTTTTAAAAAAAAATGCGTTATAGATATTAGGTGACACAACAGTAGAAAGAAATGGTAGGAATTGTATGTTTCCTGATTGTAAGTATGAATGTAAATCATGTAATATTTTAGTGAGGAATTCTCTTTTTTTTATTTACAGTTTATATCAATTAATACATTTGAGTTACAACTAAATTTTATTTCACAGCCAATAATTTGATCCGGCTTTTTACATCAAATACTGTTTCATTATGTCAGGGAAATGTTCAAAAATAATGCCCTTAAAAGGTTTTAACATGTTCAAAATTAAATTCCTGGTTTTTTTTTATCGGAATACATGTATTGGTAATAACTATTCTCCCCAATCGCTGATCAAGTAAGCAAAGTTTTGGAAAGCTAACGATTTAGGTTATTTTTTATCTGAAAGATTTTTTCCTTTTTTTTTTTGCATTGCTTTGGATGTTTGGTATTGTTTAATTTTATAGTAATTTGAAGTTATTAATTTTTTCATAATAAAATTCACGGTACCAATTTTACTGCACCAGTAAACTTCAACTTATTTTGAGATTTTTGTTTGTTTCACAATTCAATTTTTAGTCAGTTTCAATCACTGTGTGATAAATCCTTTCAATCTGATAAATGTGCTTCGGGGCAGTTGTAACTCATTTATAGAAACTCTTTGTTTTGAACTGAAAATAGACCCAAATAATAGGATAATATCTTACTAAGAACATGATTTACATTCATTCTCCACAATTAAGAGGCACCCAATTCTACAATTTCATTGGTCGAGAGTACTTTGCTATATTCTAAAATGATTAGTAAAGACCTCTGCAAAGGACAGACAATTAAAAATTCTAATCATATAAGAGCAAAGAAGTCCAAAGAATTCAAGAAAAGAAGATAGGATGACTTTTTTACTTGTATAAGTAAAAAAAATCTGAATGTCGAAGGGACATAACTAAGCCCAATTTTGTTTTACCTATACAAGTAAATAAAATACACTTGTATAAGTATCCTACAAATTTACTTATATAAGTATATTAATATTTACTTCTTCAGGTAAATAAAAATTACTTGTACAAGTAGTACTCCTGACTGACGTAGATACTTGACTTTAACACAAGATGGATTTTATGAATAAATGACAATTCTGTTTATCATATACATGTAGCACATTATTTTGAAACTTTCAGATGCACAATTAAATTTCCCATTTGTGCACATGCTCAGATACGTAACCAACTTGATTAACCCAAATAATCCATTTTTTTTTTCCAATTATTCCAATTATTACAACAATCAGTGAGAATTATTATTATGACCTATTAATGCTCCAAAACAAGCCATCAACTTTTAATTATTTCCATGTGTTTTCATGAATTTCGAGAATTTATACAAATAGTCAAGTATCTACGTCATGACAGCCTTTCCCCTTGTACTCTCATATTTGACAATTTGGTGCTTGATACATGTAGACACTCAGGATCATTGCATGCAGTGCTAGCAATGATTTGCTTAAACAAGTTTATAAATTTAGATATTAGTTAACATGGTTAAAACAAATATAAATATAGAACAATTCAAGTACACCTTCTAGGGTGCACTCAACTTTAGTGACTCAGCATGAGGTTTTTTTGATTTTATAGGTTGCATGTTTAGGACTTTCTGTAAGCAATAAACACTAGCACATCATAGAAAAACAAGTGAGTAATCTATGTTTAAAATTTTATAACAAAAATCTCTGTTTTAAAGTCTGTAGATTTTCTACAAAAATCTTGGTTTTATTTGCAACAAAATTCCTTTTTTCTATTAAATACAATGGCAATGAAGCAATAAATAATAATGCTTTGCACGAAGTTTCCCCAAGGTTGGTATATTTACAAAATGACCCAACTCTATTATTCATTATCTTTGCTGTTTTGATACAGTTGCAGTTTGAAAATTTCGTAATTCACATGGCTACAGAAGGGGTCATAAACATGATATACCTTAAGCATGTTAAGGTTTATCCCTTTTCAGAATTTGTGGCCCTTAAGTGATTAACCTTTTCACATTGTGTGCCTGTACCGAGTGATTTTTTTTATTTGGTCACTCAGAAAATCATTTTGGACTCAGAATCCCACAAGAGATAAGTGGTTATGTTAACACACACACCATGCACACTGTACACACTGTTTACAAGCCCAGACATCAATCAATATTTCATGAAATTTTTCTTTGATGATGACTTCATAACCATGATAACACAATGTGCAACAGAAATTCGATAACTTCGGGGAAAAAACCTAATATGTATATTTGTATAACCTTTCTCTTGCAAAGCGTTGACATCTATCAGATTTTGCTACAAAGTTATCTATCCAATTTGATTTCTCAATTTGCTTTAATTTCATGATGTCACTTATAGAAATATCGTCTATGTGATAACAGTCAATGTCAAAAACATCCAGAACTGCATGTTCAAAACAATCTTTTTTCTCTTCATCTTCTTCGCTTCGAAACCAAAACAGATTTACAACTTCAGAACGGATTGTCTCTTCAACATGTTCAATAAAGTGTAAAACACCCTTTGAGAAAACTTTGTTTATAGATTCTGGTGCACACGTGTCAAATTTTATTCCAATATTTGGTAGTACCATATCTGTCCATTCTGAAGTGTTTGTCCTTATCGTGTCAAAGACACTGGAACTCTCTGTGTCTGCCAGGCTGGACATAATTTTCGGGACCAAAAGCTACATGGGAATAAAAGTAATGGGGAATGAAATCAATATAATGCATGTATGTTTTATTTATCCCTCCAGTAAGTAGGAGAACCACATATTTTATGATGTAAAAAAGAAAAATTTAACAAAACTCCCCGGTCACCATTATTATACCAACAAGACATTACATGGCAAGGTTCCGGTGCAAAAAGTAGTTGGCAGCAGTAGCTGGACACACGGACACAATGATAAATTATAAATATTGAATATAATAATTCAGTTGAAATGCTTAATACAAATAATCGTTTCCTAATGTAAAATGCCAAAAATGTAATTTTTATTTAGATACAATTTTTTGAAACGCAAATTATACTGCTGTAGCCACCATCTTTTACATTTTTATATAGAAATAGCATTGTGTCCAGTTGTGTCCGCCTATATCCCCTGTTTCTGTAAGTTTTATATAGAAATGACATTGTGTCCACTTGTGTCCGGCTGTAACCCCTGTTTCTCAAAGTTTTATATAGAAATAGTACTGTGTCCAGCATGTGTCTGCCTGTAGTCCCTGTTTCTTAAGGTTTTATATAGAAATAGTACTGTGTCCACCTGTGTCCGACCAGTTTCTATTAGTTTTATAAATAACGTTGTGTCTACTAAGTCTTGTGTCCGCCTGTAGCCCCTGTTTCTGTAATGTTTATATAGAAATAGTACTGTGTCCAGCTGTGTCAGCCTGTAGCCACCAGTTTTATAAGTTTTATATATAGAAATAACGTTGCGTCTACTTGTGTCCGCCTGTAGCCCCCTGTTTCTGTAATTTTTATATAGAAATTGCATTGTGTCCAGCTGTGTCTGCCTGTAGTCACCAGTTTCTTAAACTTTTATATAGAAATTGCACTGTGTCCAGCTGTGTCCGCCTGTAGCCACCAGTTTTCATATTTTTACATAGAAATATATACATGTATATCTATATATATATATATAACGTTGTGTTCAGATTAGTACTGATTTGTTTAAGCCACAAATATATGTGTCTCTGTATCCCCGAGACGGGTCTAAATCACTCACCTGCTGATACGGCACCTGCTGATTTTGCACCATTAACCTGCCAATTTTGCCCCTATGTAGAACAACTAAAGTTGCTTCCTTTTGTACATTAACCGATTTTAAATTGAAAATTAATGTCATGTTACTTTATTAATTAAGTTAAGATAAATAACAGATAGAAATTAATTATGTAAAATCGCAGGAAAGTATAATTTAAATGATTTGTATAATTTTGAATACACTGTTGAAAATTTTGTCTTTTTTTTTATAGTTCACAATAAGAATACATCAACGATTTGTATAGTCGTACTATACAAATCCTTGAATACATATAGTTTTGGAAAACAATAATTTATTAATCTTGCAAAGTTAAAAAAAAATAGTGAAATGAAATTATTTAAACTTATACATGTAGCAGGAAAATAACTTATATGGCTGTTAGGTTATTTTTTTTCTTAAAATATTATTGTTTGGACACCACTAAAAGAAGTTAAGCATACAATTAATATAATTTTACAATGATTTTATGATTAATGCAAAACGATATATTTCAGTAATTTACCAGGGGTAAAAAGGGGGAGGTAGTCATTCTGAAATTTGACTACGTTTATGATGATCATGATTATCATGATAAATGTAGGGTATCCTTATACTTTCAATGTAATCATGGTGTAAATGTATTTTATAACTTTTATAAATACATACAATTTAATTACTTATTTTAATCACATATATTTTGATAGAGGTACCCACGGAAGCGTATATTGGTCAAGCGTTATTAGTAATTTCGATGTAAACGTGTGTTATTTTACGATAATTAATGCCTTAAAAGATGAAAATATAGGACTATTATATAACAAATATGTCATTATTAATTATAGTGTTGCTTTAGTTTTCTTTTGGTGTTACTTTATAATATTAAACAAATTTTATTAAACTGTTGATATTATTATAATTGTAAACTTGTGCTATTTTATGAGAATTAATGCTTTATAAGATGATAATATTGGACTATTATAAAACGATTATGCCATGCAACTTTGCAAATTTCGATGAAGTAATATTTGGAAAAACGATGTCATTGTTTAAAACATTTAAATGTGTCCCTCTATTCTATAGTATGGTAGCAACTATTTTCAGAAATATGCAATGGGAAAAATGAAGGGTTCCTTCAATTTTAACAATTTTAGGTCATCCTTTGATAGAATCGTGTCAATGGTGTTACCAATTTAAAACATGCATTTAGGTACTAAATATTATTGTTAAACATCAAACAACTGTTCCAATTTGTTGTTAAGGTTTAAATTACTACTTATTGACATTATTCCTCTAGCTATACATTCTTTTTAAACATAAATTTCAGAATACATTGTCGTAAAAAAGTTGGCTATCCTAATTATGGCTGTTGTAAATATTAAAAAATACACTTAAATTGAATATATGTATAATGTATAAGATGAAATGATAAGAATATGCTTAATCCTTCGTATACAACCTAAAAACACTTTCATTTATGAATAAAAATTAAAAAGTATCGCATTTTTATATAGTAACACCAGTGACTCTTCAGTAACTCCAATGACACAAAAGTATCACCATTGACAACACATTTCAAATTTTACTTTTATTAAGTACTGAACACAAAACAGAGAACACTGAGCAAAAGAAAAAGAAGAAAAAATAATTCTTAGGCTTAAAAATCTCAAATTATATAACATAATATCAATAACTAAAAATGTCAGTAGTGTTACTAAATAGTGTCATTGCTGTTACCAGCATACACCAGTTTTTGAAAACTTTGTATATGTAATACATGATATTGTTAAAACATTGTTAAATAAGTATTGTTTGTTATAAATAATATGATGTTTCGCTTGTTAAACATGAAAGAAAAACCAAAAAATGCTGATTGTCATAATATATTCAGTGGTGTTACTAAGCTGGTCAATGGTGTTATTTTATTGAAATGGTCTCACCATTGACAGTAACACCATTGATTTTCAGGTGTATTTTAAGATTTAGTTACAAAATAAGGGCCCCATTCCCCTATTTTATATGGTGTTCCTGGTGCATGTTTCTACAATCAATATATTTCATAATTCAAAGTTCAGGAATTTAAAAAAAAAAGATTTTTATAAGAGTACACCATGGACACTATTTTCAATTACAATATAGCTTGTACTTACTTTTAATATTTTTTTACTAAATTTTCAACATAAATGTTTGTTTTCTTTTGCATAACATGCTTACAAGTAACATTGCTAAGGGAGAAACTATTGTAAATGCTGAAATATTGAGAAAGATTACTCTTGCCCTACCAATTTGTCTTTTGGTTACACCATTGACTTAAAAAATGAGACTTTTCCTTTTGGTTAAATTTTTCATTATAAAACCAACATACACCTTCCAAATCATTAAAAAAATGTTTGTATGTATCAAATGCAATAAAAAGTGATAATTTCTAATAACAAATGATATGAATAATAGCCCTATTTCAGGTCTGAAGGGATTTATAGTAAAAAATAACAGTTGATTCTGGCTATATCCAAGGGTTTGAGAAAAAATTAAGAATGTTTTTATAACATTTCATACTGTAAACTGTGTATAGTGTATCACAAAACATTCATATCTTTCATATGCAATAGTTATTTTGATACATTTTGATATAGTTTCATGTCTTTTGACTTGAAAAGACCAAATAACATAGTTTTGCATGTTTTTTTGATAATGACCCATATAGCGTTTCAAAACAGTCACAACCGTATTAAAAATTGTAGTTTTGTTGTGGTTTTTTTGTCAATTATTTGTTTAACTTCGACATATACGAGTCGAATGAAGACTAAAAGTGTTATGTTCGTTTTTTGTTCGACGTGAGAGCTTTTAAAATCACGGAGATTTGTTCCATATATTAGTATTTGTATTGAGGAAAGTAGATATAAAAATAAGGAGATGTGGTATGATTGCCAATGAGACAACTCTCCACAAGAGACCAAATGACACAGAAATTAATAACTAAATGTTACGGCCTTCAACAATAAGTACAACCCATACATAACAAAGTGGCATCAGTTGTTTTCCATTCGTTAGATGTCTGTGAGCTTTTAATTTTACCATTTTATAAACAACTTTCCGTTCTGAATTTCCCTTTGAGTTCGGAATTTTTGTTATTATTACTTTTCAGTTGGAAGATAAGAAGTAGGAAGGGAACTGACAGGTAAAAAATTCATGAAGCTTGTTACTTAATATTAGATTTTTGCCGGAAATAGTTTCTGAGAAAATGCCATCAAAACTTCCATATGTGCGAAAATAAAAAGAGGTGGAGAAACAGTATTTTGCTGCGATGAATAGTTGCTGAGAAAAATGCTGTTACGGACGGACGCACGGACAGATACACATGCAGTTACCCGTATACACCGTACTCTGTTGAGCAAGGAACGGGAGGATAAAAAAAGTCATTCACAATAAGTGCATTATGTTGGAACAAAACCAGCCGTTTTTACAGGTGGTGGCCACAGATTGCACGACTAATCTATTAACGAAGAAAACACATTCTGTATATATTTTTCAATTTCTTTATAATTTTAAATTTCGCTTCCCGATCACTGCGTCCATCTTTGGGTTTTTTCTGTTCTGTAGTAATCGTAACTTCCTAACTATGCGTATCTTTACTAATTTAAACTATGTATAACTTTAAAATGTGTTAATGTATTGTGCATTACTACATATATTTCTTAATAAGAATATAAAGATTAGATCTTAGCGTCTAGTTGACGATAACCAGGAATAAATAAAAGACTTTTGTAACAATTATAATAATATCGATAGTTAAATTAAATTGTTTTTAATATTATAAAGTAATACCCAATGAAAACTAAAGCAGCATGGCATAATCGTTTTATAATAGTCCAATATTATCATCTTATAAACTTTTAAGCATTAATTCTCATAAAATAACACAAGTTAACGTCGAAATTACCAAATAACGCGTGACCGATAT